TGCCCCAAATGCCCCCAAATGCCCCCAATCCCCACCCCCGGTGCCCGCAGGTGGACGCCCCCCGCCGGGGCTGCTTGATCCAGTTCGAGGACAATTCCCAGTTTTTCGTTCTCTGGAAAGACATCAGCCCCGGTGAGCCGGAATTCCTCATTAGCCCCCTCATTAGTGACTGATCAGCGATTAATTGGCCGTTTATTGACGGTTCATTAACGCTTAATTAACGCTTTGGTGCGCTCCTGGCGCCCCCCAGCGGCCGTGCCCGGGGACGACCCCTCGTGCTGCGTCTGCGCCGGGAATTCCCGAAATCCCGAAAATTCCCTGGTCCGGTGCGGGAAGTGCGGCCACGGTCAGGGAAAAACCGGGAAAAACGGGGGAGAAACGGGAAAAACGGGGAAAACGGGGGGAAAAATCCCGAAAATTCCCTGGTCCGGTGCGGGAAGTGCGGCCACGGTCAGGGAAAAACCGGGAAAAACGGGGGAAAACGGGGAAAACGGGAGGAAAAACGGGGGAAAAAACGGGGGGAAACGGGAAAAACGGGGGGAAAAACGGGAAAAACGGGGAAAAACGGGGGAAAAAACGGGGGGAAACGGGAAAAACGGGGGGAAAAACGGGAAAAACGGGGAAAAACGGGGGAAAAAACGGGGGGAAACGGGAAAAACGGGGGGAAAAACGGGAAAAACGGGGAAAAACGGGGGAAAAAACGGGAAAAAAAAACACCGGGAAAAACGGGGGAGAAAATGGGGATAAAAATGGGGGGGAAACCGAGGAAAACAGGGAAAAAAAAGTCAGGGAAAAAACGGGAAAATGGGGGGATAAAAACGGGGAGAAAGTGGGGATAAAATTGGGGAAAAATAGGGGGGAAAATGGGGGAAAAAACTGGGGGAAATGGGGAAGGAAACAGGGAATAAAGGGGGAAATGGGGAAAAATCCTGGGAAAACAGGGAAAAATACAAGGAAAACGGGGAATAAAAGAGGGGAAATGAGGGTAAACGGGAAAATGTGGGGAGGGAAAATGGGGGAAAACTGGTGGAAAAATGGGAAAAATGGGGGAAAATGGGAAAAATGTGCCTGCGCCGGGAATTCCAAAAATCCCGAAAATTCCTTGTCTTGTGTGGGAGGTGTGGCCACGGTCAGGGAAAAACTGAGGGGAAAATGGGAGAAAAACAGGGAAAACGGGGGAAAATGGGGGAAAAAATGGGGAAATGGGGGTGAAAAGGGGGATAAAAAGGGGGAAAAATGGGGGGAAAACCCCTGGGAAAATGGGGGAAAATGGGAAAACCAGGAAAAACTCTGAAAAAAACAAGGAAAATTGGGGAAAATGGAAAAAAATTGGGAAAACTGGGGAAATGGGGGGGGGGAAATGGGGAAAAATGAGGAAAACAGGAAAAAATGGGGGAAAGTGCTGAAAAATTGGTAAAGATTGGGGGAAAACACAGGAAAAATGGGGGGAAACAGGATGAAATGGGGAAAATGGGGAAAAGGAAAGCAGGAAAAATGAAAAAAAAACAGGGGAAAAATGGGTAAAAAATGGGGAAAATGGGGAAAAAGGAAAGCAGGAAAAATGGGGGAAAATGGAAAAAAACAGGGAAAAATGGGTAAAAAATGGGGAAAATGGGGAAAAAAGGAAAGCAGGAAAAATGGGGAAAATGGAAAAAAACAGGGAAAAATGGGTAAAAAATGGGGAAATTTGGGACGGGGTAAACGCTGAAACTTGCAGGGTTCTGGCAAAAATTGCCAAACTTTGGGGGAGGAAATTTGGGGATTGGGGTGGGAAAGGGGGGGCAAAGTGGGAAAATGCCCAAAAAGGGGGAAAATGGGAAAAAGGGGGGGAAACACCCGAAAATTGTGGAATTCCCGTGAAAATTCCCCAAAATTCACCAGGAAGTGGAGAGGAAATGGGGGGAGGGGAAAATGGGGATGGGAAAATCCCAAAAAATGGAGGGAAGAGGGGGAGAAATGGGAAAGAGGGAGCAGGGGTGGGAAAATCGGCCCCAAAAATTCTGGAATTCTGCCTGAAATTTAAAATAAATCTGGGAAAGGGGGGAGGGGTGGGAACATGGGGAAAATGGGGAAAAAAATGGGAAAAATGGGAATGGGGGTGGGAAAGGGGGAGGAGGGGCAGGAAAAGCTCCTCAGGAGGGGAAAAAATGGGTGAAAAATGGGAAAAATGGGTGAAAAATGGGAAAAATGGGTGAAAAATGGGAAAAAAGGGGGGAAAATGGGGAAAAATGGGTGAAAAATGGGGGAAAAATGGGGGAAAAAGGGGGGAAATGGGAAAAACATGGGTGGAAAATGGGAAAAAAAGGTGAAAAATGGGGAAAAATGGGATTTAGGTGGGAAAAGGGGTTGAGAGGTGGGAAAAGTGGGAATGGGGTGGGAAAATGGGAATATTGGGAATGGGAAAAATGGGTGAAAAATGGGGGAAAAAGGGGGGAAATGGGAAAAACATGGGTGGAAAATGGGAAAAAAAGGTGAAAAATGGGGAAAAATGGGATTTAGGTGGGAAAAAGGGTTGAGAGGTGGGAAAAGTGGGAATGGGGTGGGAAAATGGGAATGAAGGGGGGAGGGTGCGAGAATTCCCTGAAAATTGGGAAAATGGAGGGAAAATGGGAATGAAGGGCTGGAAATGGGGAAAAAATGGGAATGGGGGGAAAATGGGAATGGGGGGAAAATGGGAATGGAGATGTGATGGGTGGGAAAAAATGGGAATTTTAATGGGAAAATGGGGGGGAATCCTCTCAAAAGTGGGAAAAATGGAGAAAAAATGTGGGGAAATGGGGGAAAATGGGAATATGGGGAGGGAAAAATGGGAAAAGGGTGGGAAAAAACCCCTCCAAAATGGGAAAAAAATGGGATTTGGGTGGGAAAATGGGAGTGGGAAAATGGGAAAAAAAACCTGGGAGGAACGGGAAAAATATGGGGAAAGGGCGGGAAAAATGGGAAAAAACCCTGGGATTTGGGGGGGGAAATGGGAATGGGTTGGGGAAATGGGGGGAAATGGGAATATGGGGAGGGAAAAATGGGAAAAGGGTGGGAAAAAACCCCTCCAAAATGGGAAAAAAATGGGATTTGGGTGGGAAAATGGGAGTGGGAAAATGGGAAAAAAAACCTGGGAGGAACGGGAAAAATATGGGGAAAGGGTGGGAAAAATGGGAAAAAACCCTGGGATTTCGGGGGGGAAATGGGAATGGGTTGGGAAAATGGGGAGAAATGGGAATATGGAGAGGGAAAAATGGGATTTGGGTGGGAAAAATCCCCTCCAGAATGGGGAAAATGGGAAAAAATGGGATTTGGGTGGGAAAAATCCCCTCCAGAATGGGGAAAATGGGAAAAAATGGGATTTGGGTGGGAAAATGGGAATGGGAGTGGGAAAATGGGAAAAAACCTGGGAGAAACGGGAAAAATATGGGGAAAGGGTGGGAAAAATGGGAAAAAACCCTGGGATTTGGGCCAAAAAAACACCAAAAAAACGGGAATAAGGGCGGGAAAAGCGGGGGAAGGGCCGGGGGGGTCCCGGATTGCCGAAGGATTCCCGGAATTCCCGGAATTCCCGGCGCCAGCGTACCACCAGCGCTGCCACGCGCCCCCGCCGCCCGGCGGCGCCGCGCCCTGGAGCTGCCGCCGCTGCGTCTTCGCCGTGGCCACCAAGGTGAGCCCGGGGTCCCCCCAAAATCCCCCCAAAATCCCCCCAAAAATTCCCCAAATCCCATCCCGGGGCGGCCCCCGAGGAGCTCCGGGGCTCTGGATCCCGGGATTCACAACAAATCCCGGGTTTGGGACCCCAAATCCCGGTTTTTCGGCCCAAAATTCCCATTTTTCGGCTCGAAGTTCCCGGTTTTGGGCTCCAGTCTCAGCTTTAGGGTCCAAAAATTTTGGGCCTCCAGTTTTGGGGGTTTCAGCTCCAAACGTTGGGATCCAAACTCCAAATTTTGGGATCCAAACTCCAAATTTTTTGGGGCTCCAGTCGCCTTTTCTGAGGTCCAAATTTTGGGACGGAATTCCAAATTTTTGGGGTCTCGATCCCATTCTTTGCTGTCCTGATCCCATTTTTGGGATCCAAACTCCCAATTCTGGGGTGGAAATCCCAATTTTTGGGGCCCAAACTCCATTTTTTGTAGCCCCAACCCTGATTTGTTCATTTCTGGTGTCATTCCCGGTAATCCCGATCGATTCCCGCTGGAATTCCCGTTGATTCCCACTGTGATTCCCGGGTTTTTCCCGTTAATTCCCGGTGTTATTCCCGGTGTCTTTCCCACTGTTTTCCTGTTCGTTCCTGGTGTTATTCCCGGTAATTCCCGCTGTAATTCCTGGTGTAATTCCCGGTAATTCCTGGTGTCATTCCTGCTGTTTTCCTGGTGTTTTCCTATTCATTCCCACTGGAATTCCCGGGTTTTCCCCGTTAATTCCCGGTGTCTTTCCTGGTGTTGTTCCCGTCAATCCCCATCAATTCCCTGTGTCATTCCCGCTGTAATTCCTGGGGTTTTCCTGCTCATTCCTGGTCTTATTCCCGCTGGAATTCCCAGTGTGATTCCCTGGTTTTTCCCGTTAATTCCCAGTGTAATTCCTGGTGTAATTCCCGCTGTTTTCCTGTTCATTCCTGGTGTCATTCCTGGTAATTCCTGCTGTAATTCCTGGTGTAATTCCTGCTGTTTTCCTGGTGTTTTCCTGTTCATTCCCGCTGGAATTCCTGGTTTTTCCCGTTCATTCCCGGTGTCATTCCCGGCATCATTCCCACTGTAATTCCTGGATTTTCCCCACCAATTCCCAGTGCCATTCCCAGTGTAATTCCCGTTAATTCCTGGTGTCATTCCCGCTGTAATTCCCACTGTGATTCCTGGGTTTTTCACGTTCATTCCCGGTGTCATTCCTGTCAATCCCCATCCATTCCCGCTGTCATTCCCGCTGTTTTCCTGTTCATTCCCGGCATCATTCCCACTGTAATTCCTGGGTTTTTCCCGGTCTCATTCCCAGTGTCATTCCCGGTCTCATTCCCGCTGTTTTCCTGTTTGTTCCTGGTGTTATTCCCATCCATTCCCGGTGTTTCTCCTGGTGCCATTCCTGGTGTTTTCCTGCTAATTCCCACAGGAATTCCTGCATTTTTCCTGTTAATTCCCGATGTCATTCCCATTAATTCCCGCTGGAGTTCCTGGTGTTTTCCTGTTCATTCCCAGTGTCATTCCCGCTGGAATTCCTGATAATTTCTGGCATCATTCCTGCTGTAATTCCTGGGCTTTTCCCATTAATTCCCACTGGAATTCACAGGTTTTCCCTGTTAATTCCCGGTGTCATTCCCATTAATTCCCGCTGGAATTCCCGCTGGAATTCCTGCTGGAATTCCTGCTGTTTTCCTGTTCATTCACGGTGTCATTCCTGCTCTAATTCCTGAGTTTTTCCTCTTCATTCCTGGTGTAATTCCTGCTGTAATTCCCGCTGTAATTCCCTGGTTTTTCCTGTTCGTTCCCCGTGTCATTCCTGGTAATTCCCGCTGGAATTCCTGGTGTTTTCCTGTTAACTCCTGCTGTAATTCCCAGTGTAATTCCCGGGTTTTCCCCCATCAATTCCGGGTGTAATTCCCGCTGGAATTCCTGGGGTTTTCCCCGTTCATTCCCGGTGTCATTCCCGTCAATCCCCATCCACTCCCGGTGTCATTCCCGCTGGAATTCCCTGGTTTTTCCTGTTCATTCCCGGCATCATTCCCACTGTAATTCCTGGATTTTCCCCACCAATTCCCAGTGCCATTCCCAGTGTAATTCCCGTTAATTCCTGGTGTCATTCCTGCTGTAATTCCTGATGTTTTCCTGCTGTTTTCCTGTTCATTCCCGCTGGAATTCCCACTGTTGTTCCCAGGTTTTTCCCGTTCATTCCCGGTGTCTTTCCTGGTGTCATTCCCGTCAATCCCCATCCGTTCCCGGTGTTTTCCCATCAGTTCCTGCTGTAATTCCTGGTGTTAATTCTTGTTGATTCTCCTTGGAATTCCCGCTAAAATTCCCATTCGTTCCCACTGGAATTCTCCTTAATTCCCACTGGAATTCCTGTTATTTCCCGGCGGAATTCCCGTTAATTCCTGATGTTTTCCCCGGTGTTTTTCTCATTGATTTCTGATGTTGATTACTGTTGTAATTCCTGGATTTTTCCCAATCTTTCCACTGTGCTTTCCCAGGCTTTTCCCCACTAATTCCCGCTGTAATTCCCATTAATTCCCGCTGTAATTCCTGGTGTTTTCCCCATAAATTCCCGGTGTTTCTCCGGTGCATTCCCGGTGTAGTTCCCGGTGTAATTCCCAGCTTTTCCCAGTGATTCACGCTGTGATTCCCGTTAATTCCTGGTGTAATTCCTGGTGTTTTCCGGATTGATTCCCATTGTAATTCCCGTTTTTTCCTGGTGTTTATTCCCGTTTTTTTCCCATCCCAGTGGGGTGGGGCATTCCCGCCGGCCCGCAGGCACAGGCGATGCGCAGATGGAATTCCTGTTAAATCCCCACTGGAATTCCCGTTCATTCCCATTGGAATTCCCGTTAAATCCCGCTGGAATTCCCGCTAAATCCCCACTGGAATTCCCGTTCATTCCCATTGGAATTGCCGTTAATCACTGCTGGAATTCCTGGTGTTTTCCCGGTGTTTCCCTCTCAGTTCCCAGTGTAATTCCTGGTTTTTCCCCTTAATTCCCGCTGGAATTCCCGCTGTCATTCCTGGTGTTTTCCCATTGTTTCCTGGTGTTCTCCCATTAATCCCCAGCATCATTCCGGGTGTCATTCCCGGGTTTTTCCCCACCAATTCCTGGTGTTAATTCCCGCTGTAATTCCCAGTGTTCTCCCAGGATTTTCCCCATCGATTCCCGGGCTTTTCCTGCTGTAATTCCCAGGTTTTCCCAGTTTTCCAGCGGGGCAGGGCACTGTGCTATGGATGGAATTCCCACTGTGAATTCCCGCTGTAATTCCCGATGTTTTTCCCATCCCAGCGGGGCGCGGCCGTTCCCGGTGTCATTCCCAGTGTTTATTCCCAGTGTTTATTCCCGGTGTCATTCCCGGTTTTCCAGCGGGGCGGGGCGCTCCGGCGGGGCCGTTCCCGGTGTGATTCCCGGTGTGATTCCCGGTTTTTCCCCCAGCAGGGTGGGGCGCTCCGGCGGGGCCATTCCCGGTGTTTATTCCCGGTGTTATTCCCGGTGTCATTCCCGGTGTTTATTCCCGGTGTCATTCCCGTTTTTCCCCCAGCGGGGCAGGGCTCTCCAGCGGGGCCGTTCCCGGTGTCATTCCCGGTGTCATTCCCGTTTTTCCCCCAGCGGGGCGGGGCTCTCCGGCGCGGCCGTTCCCGGTGTCATTCCCGGTGTTTATTCCCGGTGTGATTCCTGGTGTGATTCCCGGTGTCATTCCCAGTGTTATTCCCGGTGTTATTCCCGGTTTTCCAGCGGGGCGGGGCGCCCCGGCGGGGTCCTTCCCGGTGTCATTCCCGGTGTTTATTCCCGGTGTGTTTTCCAGCGGGGTGGGGCTCTCCGGCGCGGCCATTCCCGGTGTCATTCCCGGTGTTTATTCCGGGTTTTCCAGCGGGGCGGGGCTCTCCAGCGGGGCCGTTCCCGGTGTGACTCCCGGTGTGATTCCCGGTGTGATTCCCGGTGTCATTCCCGGTGTCATTCCCGGTGTGTTTTTCAGCGGGGCGGGGCTCTCCGGCGGGGCCGTTCCCGGTGTCATTCCCAGTGTTTATTCCCAGTGTTTATTCCCAGTGTCATTCCCGGTTTTCCAGCGGGGCGGGGCGCTCTGGCGCGGCCGTTCCCGGTGTCATTCCCGGTGTCATTTCCAGTGTTTATTCCCGGTGCCATTCCCGGTTTTTCCCCCAGCGGGGCGGGGCTCTCCGGCGCGGCCGTTCCCGGTGTGATTCCCGGTGTAATTCCCAGTGTTATTCCCGGTGTTATTCCCGGTTTTTCCCCCAGCGGGGCGGGGCTCTCCGGCACGGCCGTTCCCGGTGTGATTCCCAGTGTAATTCCCAGTGTTATTCCCGGTGTTATTCCCGGTTTTTCCCCCAGCGGGGCGGGGCTCTCCGGCACGGCCGTTCCCGGTGTGATTCCCAGTGTAATTCCCAGTGTTATTCCCGGTGTTATTCCCGGTTTTCCAGCGGGGCGGGGCGCCCCGGCGGGGTCCTTCCCGGTGTCATTCCCGGTGTTTATTCCCGGTGTGTTTTCCAGCGGGGTGGGGCTCTCCGGCGCGGCCATTCCCGGTGTCATTCCCGGTGTTTATTCCGGGTTTTCCAGCGGGGCGGGGCTCTCCAGCGGGGCCGTTCCCGGTGTGACTCCCGGTGTGATTCCCGGTGTGATTCCCGGTGTCATTCCCGGTGTCATTCCCGGTCCCAGAATTCCCCCCAAAAATCCCAGAATTCCCAAAAAAAATCCCAGAATTCCCCAAAAAAATCCCAGAATTCCCCAAAAAAATCCCAGAATTCCCCAAAAAAATCCCAGAATTCCCCAAAAAACCCCAGAATTCCTCAAAAAAATCCCAGAATTCCTAAAAACTCCCAGCCCAAATAACCCCAAAACCGCCCCAAAACCCCAAAACCGCCCCAAATTCCCAGCTGCGCGACCTCCGGTGCCGCCCCAGAACTGCAGGGAGAGCGGGCAGTGGGTCACATTCCCAAAAATCCCGGAATTCCCGAAAAACCCCCCGGAATTCCTGGAATTCCCCCCTCATTCCCAGCTGGAACCTGAGGACGCTGCCGCTGCCTCTGCTCCCAAACCTCCCAAAATCCCCCAAAAACCCCCCAAAATCCCCCCAGAATTCTCCCCAAATCCCCTCAATTCCCAGAATTCTTGGAATTCCCAAAATTTCTCCCAATCCCAGCTGGGACCAGAAGTTTCTCCCAAGCGCTCCCCCCAAAATCCCCGAAAATCCTTCCAAAAATCCCTAAAAAAACCCCAAATGCCCCAAAATCCTCCCCGAAGTCTCCCCAAATCCCTGGAATTCCTCCCAAATCCCCCCAGAATTCCCGGAATTCCCAAATTCCCAATTCCTGTGTCCCAGCTGGAGCCTGGAGATGCTCCCAGTGCTCCCCCAAACCCCCCAAAATTCCCAAAAATCTCCCAAAATCCCCTAAAATCTCAGGAAAACTCCCCAAATCCTCCCCCCCGCCCTCCAAAATCCCCCAAAAATCCTGCCAAAACTTCCCGGAATTCCCCAAATTCCCTAAAATTCCTGGATTTCCCCCAAATCCCAGCTGGATTTGGAGACGCTCCCCGTGCTCCCCCAAAACTCCCTAAAATCCCCCCAAAAACCCTGAAAAATCCCCCCAAAATCTCCCAAAAATCCCCCTAAAATCCCCAAATTCCCCCTAAAAATTCCCAGAATTCCCCGAATTCCCCCAAATCCCAACAGGAACCTGAAGATGCTTCCCCAAAACCCCCTAAAATCCCCTCAAAAGACCCCAAAAACCGTCCCAAAATCCCCCCAAAGGATTCCCCCAAATCGCAACAGGAGCCTGAAGATGCTTCCCCAAAACCCCCTAAAATCCCCTCAAAAGACCCCAAAAACCGTCCCAAAATCCCCCCAAAATCCCCCCAAGATGCCCCCAAAATCCCCAAAAAACCCCCAAAACCCCCAAAAATCCCTCAAAATCCCCCAAATCCCCCCAAAATCCCCCCAAGATGCCCCCAAAATCCCCAAAAAACCCCCAAAACCCCCAAAAATCCCTCAAAATCCCCCAAATCCCCCCAAAATCCCCCCAAGATGCCCCCAAAATCCCCAAAAAACCCCCAAAACCCCCAAAAATCCCTCAAAATCCCCCAAATCCCCCCAAAATCCCCCCAAGATGCCCCCAAAATCCCCAAAAAATTCCAAAAAATTCCCAAAACCCCCCCAAAATTCCCAAAATCCCCGAATTTCGCAGCTGGAACCTGAAGATGCTGCAGTGCCGGCGCTGCCGCCAGTGGTTCAACGAGGCGTGCACGCAGTGCCTGCGCCGGCCCCTGCTCTACGGGGACAGGTCAGCGCCCCCGTTTTGGGGGGTTTGGGGGCGTTTTGGGGTTTTTTGGGGAGTTTTGGGGCTTTTTGGGGTTTTTGGGTTTTTGTTGGGGTTTTTTTGGGGTTTTTTCCCGGGTGTTTTGGGGGTTTTTCCCATGATTTGGGATGGATTTTGGGGAATTTGCAGGGGTTTTGGGTTTGGGGTGATTTGGGGGGAAATTTTGGGGTGGTTTGGGGGGAATTTGGGATAATTTGGGAATGGATTTGGGGGTGATTTGGGGGTTTTGGGGCTTTTTGGGGTTTTTTGGGGGGTTTTTTGGGTTTTTTTCCGGGTGTTTTGGGGTTTTTCCCATGATTTGGGATGGATTTTGGGGAATTTGCAGGGGGTTTGGGGATGGGTTTGGGATAATTTGGGAATGGATTTGGGGGCGATTTGGGGTTTTGGGGCTTTTTGGGTTTTTTTGGGGTGTTTTGGGATGGATTTTGGGGAATTGGCAGGGCTTTTGGGGATGGGTTTGGGGTGGATTTTGGGATAATTTGGGAAAGGATTTGGGGGTGATTTGGGGTTTTGGGTTTTTTGGGTTTTTTTGGGGTTTTTTCCGGGTGTTTTGGGGTTTTTCCCATGATTTGGGATGGATTTTGGGGAATTTGCAGGGGGTTTGGGGGATGGGTTTGGGGTGATTTGGGGGAGATTTTGGGGCGGTTTGGGGGGAATTTGGGATAATTTGGGAATGGATTTGGGGGCGATTTGGGGTTTGGGGGGGGTTGGGTTTTTGGGCCTTTGGGGTTTGGGGAGTTTTTGGGGGTTTTGGGAATTTTTGGGTATTTTGGGAGTTCTGGGAGTTTTTGGGGATTTGGGGGTTTTTGGGAGTTTTTGGGGTTTTTGGGGTTTTGGGGTTTTTGGGAGTTTTTCCTGTTCTTTTGGGGTTTTTTTCCCGGATATTTTGGGATTTTCCCCATTATTGGCGATGGATTTTGGGGTGATTTGGGGATGGATT